TGTACTTAAAATGTTCATGTTTAGGATAATCAACTAGAGAACTAATCGGTAGAAGAAGAATTTGATAATCTATGCTTATCTTAAATGGTTTGATAGGTTATGCTTATGAATTCTAGGATTATTAGGGAAAAATCGTAGCTTTCATTGAAGTCATTGTGCTCTTTGGCAATTGTTTATCGATTACACAAAGATCCGGTCTTTTTATAAGATCCGGTTACAACGAGATCAAAAGAAAAAGAAAAAGTTACAATCTTCCTTGTTTGTCGAACGAATCGCGAGCTCCTGTTTTGCGGTCACTCGCTTTTGTGGGTTCTTTGCCTGCGCCGGGGTTAATTCGTGGACCACCGCGCGATCTTGATCCGGTCGGATCTACACGGTATGACGGGGGTTATTTCACGAAGGAAATAACAGCCGGGGGGTACTATTTCACCAAGGAAATAATAGCCTTCTCGGGATCAAAAACCAAGTTTTGATCCGGAGGATGACCGTGTGGATCTCAGATCTGATCTCTCTCGAACTCCTGCCTTTTCTGACGTGGATGCTCGCCAAGAACCAGATCTGAAAATGTCCAAGTCTTCAAAGCTTCAAAACTCCGAGATTTAGTTCTCAATCCGGCAGAGTTTCGGCTCCCCAAGTTCCAACCCTAAAATCCAACCTCTTAAACAATGAGCCCTCAAGTCTATTTATAGGCACCTCAAACCAGATCTGGGCTCAGATCTGGGCCCAGATCTGGGTGGCTCGGCCTAGGTGGCTCGGCCAGGCCGAGACACTTGTGAGTGTCTCGGGTATTTTGAACATAACTTTCTCGTATGATCTTAGGTGGCTCGGCTTTGGCCGAGCCACCTAGGAGTAGCTCGGTTTTGGCCGAGCCCTCCAGGTGTTTGCTTCTTCGCCCGTTTTCTGGTTTCGCGGTTTATCCGAACTTCATTGTTGATCTGGACTCTGATTTGGCAGTCCAGATCCTGATTTGGCAGAAAATCCGCTTTGGTGTTCGAGTTCGAGTCTGCTCCCGATCTTGTTTGATGTGGTGGACTCTACGGTTGGATGACTCGTTGATTCATCGACCTGTTAGCTTGATTGGGCACGCGATTGGATGTATTCTGTTGTTTGCGTGCGGTTCGTTAACCTCGTCGCCTCGTTAATCTGCTTCGTCGCGTGTCACTTGGCTTCGGTGTTGTGGTCTAACGATCATGCTTGGATATATCGCCCGATGGTTCGTTGGTTTGTCGAATCACCATGCCGAGATGTGTTAAGGGACCTATAAGCAGTTTTATACGCCTACAGACACAGTTTGTTTGCGGTGAAAGTTGATTTCTTCATTGCTATCGAATCTATTACAACTTTAGTCATTACAATAAACTCGAATAAAATAAAAGGTTGATCTTTTTATAAGATCTCCTTACACAATGAAAATAAAAAGTTTACAACTTTATCAAATAAACGCAGAGATCGTTTATCGGTCTTCTGCTTGCGTGGGATCTTTGCCTGTGCCGGGGTTTATCCGTGGACCACCGTCGATCAGATCTGATTGCTGAAAAATTGGGCAGAGCTTCGTCTATCCGCGAAGAGATCGAGAAACCGTAGCTCTTATCTCGGCGAAGCGAGATAATTGCTCTTCTTAGAATTACCACAACGGGATAATCGTAAGGAACGGATCCGGGAAACTGTAGATCTGACGAGTCTCTTTCTCTTTTACGTTGAAGAACTCGATCCGATTTCTCCTCCTCCTCTCTGAAATTCGTGCACCTTCAGTCATCAATCCGGCAGGGCTTCACCTAATCTCCAAAATTCCAGATCTCCCCCCAAGTGGGACTTGAAATTGATCAGATGCTGAGTGGGGGAACTCTTCCCGTCGAACGGCGTGAAGTTGATCAGGTTGAACTTCGCCGGATACGGGATCAATTCCCATTCTCTTGGGTAAGGACATGGAATCCCGGTCTTCTTTGGTGGAAACGCCTTGATCTGGGCTTCGTCGTTCCATTGAAGATCCTCTCGAATACCGAGACCCTCTGCGGAGTGGTCTTGGGGCAGCTACACATTAATAATACTGCCCTGATAATTTTGATACACGGATAGTGATAGTCCGCTTCCCGGGTACTTCTCTTTTGAGATTTATTCGTACCCCCAGCCCGATAGTACAACTCATCGACGTTGCGGTCGGAGTAACCTATCGGCTGCTTACATGGATTCTCAGGTATAACGCGTTCGTCTGTCTGACGCGTTTTCCTCTGAGTAAACATTGCCTTGTTGGCATCTACAGGAGTCACACGTTTGGAATCACACCCTTGTGAGGGTGAAACCTTAACGGGCTCCTGTTTTTCTGCACGTACCTCCAAGCGGGCTGTTGTAGAAATTAATTTGTTAGGAGGTCGCGTACGACCCCCAGTCCGGATGTTTGCTCGAAGCTCCTTCAACGAACTCAAGCTTTTCTTATCAGGCGCTTTTCCTCGATCCTTGGGTAGGGAACCGATGCGATCCTTCAATGGGACTCTAGCTTTGGAGAGATCCACGTTGTCATAGAGTTTCATCGGAAGTGCGGGAGCAGGGTCTGGAGTTGACGAAGGCCGGAGAGCAACGTCGCCTGCTTTTGCCTTAGGCGCTGATTTGGCTTTTGGCACCCAAACTTGTTTGGATCTCGGCGATCTCTTAACTACCTTTTCCTTTTGCATTTCCTGTGCTTTTCGTACAAGGGTCCGGGCATGCGCAAGTAAGGTGCGGCGCTTCTGGATTCGCTCCTCGAGAGTAGATCGGGTTCTTTGAACACGAACCCATTCATTAATTGGAGATCGAGAAGAAGATTCCGATGCTGGTCG